TCTTTATACGCGCTCCGCCGTGCAATTCGCAAGCAAAGAAGTCCGCCATCATGGTGCGCAGTCGCGGGGCCCATGCCTTGCCTCAAGAGGACGAGTCTGCTCTTGTAGCCTTCTTTGCTGCGGCTGTCGCCCGCCATCACAGGAATCAACCAAAATCTTGGTAGTTGCTGTGAGCTTCTAGGGCAACGCGCGCTGTGCTACGGCGACGGCCGCATTTTGTAAAAGATGTGCCCTCAATGTTTCAATTGTTGGGCACTTCTAGATGGGCGTGCGCGGAACACCCGCGCGAGCCTTTTGATTTCCTCCCGTCCTTGCAGTTGGTCGAAACAGTGATGCGCGCGGTGCGAATGCGAGGGAAACTTTCTGAACGCAGTCCGCCGCCCTGGATCTTTGTAACCGGTGGAGTAGTTTAAGACCAATGTGAGGGGCGCTGAGGCGAGAGCCGCAGTCTGACAGCCGGCCTCCCTCCAACTGTGTAATTGTTAGAGGGTTGCACACGAATCCGCCTTTATGAGCGTGTTTTCCACCACCACCACCATGAGTTGGACGGGGCCTCCTCCTCCTCCTCCTCCTCCTCCTTCTCGTCCTCCTCCTCGCCCTCCTCCTTCCCCCCTCCAACTTGTGGTGGTGGTGGTGGAAAGCAAGGTCATCATGCCTGGCACCATGGCGGGCGCCAAATTTCGAAAACGGTTCGCCCCACATCCGTGCACCAGCTCCACATGCCAAGCTTCACTGACGTGCAATGTATATAATATATATATATGTATATGTACACATGTATGCTTTTGTGTTCTCTCTCTCTCTCTCTCCCTCGGCCCCCGGGCCGGTCCGAAACTGGCAAGCCCGCCCTCCCCAGGCCTTCCGCTTCCGAAACCGGCGCGGCGGCCGGGGCGCTCGGCGGTCAGTGCGCCGAGCGCCCTGGCGGTTGCGCCCCCGGATTGGCGCCGAGCGCCCCGGCGGCGTGAAATGTTCCTTTTCGTGCCTCCTCTCTCACCCGTCCGCCCTCCCTCTCTTACCCTGCCTCCTTCCCCTCCCCCCCCTTTCCTCCACTCCCGCTTCCTCCCCCCCATCCCTTGCCCTCCCCTGCGTTGACATGTTTGCTCGGGCTCCGAGTGCCCAGGTGAATGCTGTTATTCCTCTGGCGGACAATGCTCGCTACCCGGCCCCACCCCCCTAAGGCAACGGTAGCGACCATGCCCGGGAGGTGGCCAGGACCCCCCCCGGGGTCGCACCCTCCGCGTGATCACAGTGGTGGTGCTCATATGCGTGCCGCGGCCTTCGGGGGCTCCCCTGTTATTGCGGCGCCGAGTTCGCAAGCGTGGCGCGGTGCTGAGAGGCATGCTTCGGTGTTCACGTGCGTGCCGTGGCGTTTGCATGCTTTTGCGGTGCGCATAAGGCAGCTGTCGCCGCCGCAGTCGTCGCCCTCGTCGTTCGCCCTCGTTCGTCGTCGTCGTTCGTCGTCGTCGTCGTCGTCGTCTTCGCCGCCGCCGCCGCCGCCGTCGCTATTTCCGTCCTCGTTATCGTCGTCGTGGTTGTCGCCGCACGTGTCAATCTAACCCCAATCAATGTCGAACATATGTTTCAGTTTCGATGCTTGGTTCCGAAGAGCCCCCTGGCCCCCGTGGGCCCAAGACGACGACGAGGACGGAGGCGAGGCATTGTGGTGCACGCAGGCGCCGAGGTGCCCGCAGGCGCTGCTGTGCACGCTGTCGTCGTCGTCGTCGTCGTCGTCGTCGTCGTCGTCGTCGTCATCGTCGTCCTCCCCGCCGTTGTCGTCGTCGTCGTGGCGTCGTGTTGTGGTGCACGCTGTCGTCGTCGTCGGTGTTGTCGCAGTGGTGAAGCGCATTGTGGTCGCTCGGAAACCGTCACGGTGCTCGCACGCGCCCTGCCGGTACTTTCACGTTTCCACACGTGGTCGAGTCGTTTATCATTGTTGTGTTCGCAAGCACGCCTTGGTTTTCGCGCGCATGCTATGGCGATCCCAATGCAGCCCGCCCGCCCCGACGCGCCCCGACCCGCCCAAGCGTTGTTGTTACCTGGGGCTGCAAGCACCCCCTGGGTAAAGACCATGATTCTGATTAGTTACAGGCTATCTCTGCATGCGCCCGCCGCGCTTCGCGCGGCGCCCTTGCGAACTCAGAGCGACGACCCCGCACTGCAGGACAGTAGGAATGAATGCAGCAAGCAGTTGTACAAATATTGCTCACATGGAAACAATTGAAAACGAAATCAATTAAGCTTCAATGCAATAAAGGAAACTAAATGAGGACATGCGTGAATTCATGAAAAAGTGCATAGACCCAGCAGACGCGAGAACCAGCAACCACATTCAAAAACTTTGAATCGAATTTTGAGATGTTGAATATAAACGGGCGCTGGAGTGATGTTCCGTCCAGGATGGATGTCGCAACAGTGCGGAGATGCTTGAGTCATCCGCGATTCGGCAATCGGGCGTCTTCATGGGGGAGGTGCTAGGGATAGGGGCATCTGCAAGTGCGCGCCCAGGTTCTGGGGATGCATCAGGCGGTTCGCCTGCTTCGGCGCCTCGGACTCTGATCCCTTGTGAGCCGCGGGCTCTGATCTCTTGCGAGCCCCATGACCACCGCGACTTAGCAGGCATGGCACGTGGGCCCCCTTTACGACGTCTGCCTTCCTCGATGTGCCCCCCCCCGCTGCTTCGACCTCCAGGAGGCCACGTGTTCCCGCAAGTCGGCGTCCGAGTCAGCCGAGATGGCTCCGAGCCGGCCCGTGCCGACCCAGGACTGTATCCAGACGCTCCAAGCAGCCTCGGGACTGCACGCGAGGCCTCCGAGCTGGCCCAGGAGAGCTTCAGGGGGCCCTGCAGCCCGAGGAGGCGCGCAGCATTGATTGTCCTGCGCTTCGCATCTACGCTTCACATCTAGCTCTGATATAACCTTAGGCGATGCTTAAGGAAACTTAAGTTTTCGGCCAGGGTCTCGATTATTCTGAACGTTTCCATGTAAGTCTGAAGATTTGAATAGACATGTTGGGTTTTTTTATTCAAGTCCTGAGGTTATGAATTTCTTAACCCATGATTTCTTAAGCATTTCGCAAGGTGTACCCCACGAGGCTCTCCAAGGAGGCCTTCAAAGAGGGCCTGGAGTCGACCCGACGGGACCCCGGGATCGCCGCAGAGCCTCCCAAGGGGTCCCAAGGAGGAGGAGGAGGAGGAGGGAGAGGAGGAGGAGGAGGAGGTTCAGGAGGAGGAGGAGAAGCAGGAGGAGGAGGAGGAGGAGGAGGCGGATGATGATGATGATGATGATGATGATGATGATGATGATGATGATGATGATGATGATGATGAGGAGGAGGAGGAGGAGGAGGAGGAGGAGGAGGAGAAGGAGGAGGAGGCGGAGGAGGCGGAGGAGGCGGAGGAGGAGGAGGAGGAGGAGGAGCACCAAGGCAGTTCCCGAAGGCGTCATGCGGGGCAAGAGCCAACCAAGAGGGCCCAAGAGGCCGCCGGGGAGGGGGACAGCTGCCCGTTCTCCTCACCCTTCTTGTGGGGATCTCGCAGGCGGTTCGCTTGGGTTGGCGCCTCGAGGCATTCTCTTGTGAGAGCTTCGTGACCACGTCGACCTAGCAGGCTTGGCATTTGGGCACCAGAAAAGGCGGCTGCTAGGGGCTATGGACGGGGCATTTGTCCGTCCGCGCCCAGACTGTGGGGATGCCTCAGGCGATTTGCCTTCTTTGGTCCTCCAGATTCCTTTCTTTCGAAGGCCCCGTGATCACCTCGACACAGCGGGCGCGACATTTGAGCCCTGCGGGGTGCCAGTCGCCAGGGAGGTGGGCAGTGGCCCCTTCGCGCCCAGATTGTGGGGACGCCTGAGGTCGTTTTTGCTCGCTCTGTGCGAGGGCCAGCCGCCAGGGGAGGGACCACCCGTTCGCGCTCGGATGGTGCGGAGCGCGGGGAAGCCTCGAGGGGCTCGCTGATCTGGCGCCCCTCGTTGTTGAGAGCCTCGCGACCACCGTAGACATGGCAGGCACACCACCTGGGCACCCCAGCGAGGAGCCGCCAAGGGTCGTTGCAGTTGCCCGTTCGCGCCTAGACTGTGGGGGGGCCTCGAACGGTTCACTGGTTACAGTGGGGTCCCATGCCAAGAAACACCCTGCTTGCCTCCAGGGTGCCTTGGATTTCTTGGGTTTCGATGGTTTTGCCATGGAAAGCGTGGCGTTCCCACACCAAAAATCGATGGACGTCCTGGGGTCGCAGGGTTGGGTTTCTTGTAGGAAGTTTCTTTTGGTCGGGCCCCTCCTGTATGGCACGCCCACCCGACTCCTCTCCGTTCAGAGTTCCATGATCACCGCGATCCAGGAGGCATTGCGCTTGTGTGCACCCTGAGGGGGAGGAGAGGGGGAGCCGCCAGGGGGTGTGACGCTTGCCAGTATGCTCCCAGATCGTGGGACTTCACAGGGGAAACGCTGGTTTAGGTCCCACCCGACCCCTCCCCGATCTCTCACTGTCGCTCAGACAATCAGAAGCGGAAGTACCAGGAACTGAGACGCATATGTGGCGATTTCCGCGCCGAATACGCTGTCTTCCTCTCTTCCCATCCTCCATTTAGTTATTTCCTCCCTCCTCCTCGTCCTCCCCCTCATCCGACTGCGGACTTGCAAAACACGCGGCAGGAAGCATCTCGAACCAGGAAGACAGTTCTTGGAACGAGGAACTGGCTGTTTCTCCTCCCTTTTTCTTCCACCTCGAGATGTAAGGTGGCAGGCGTTCTTATCCTGGAGGGCGTTCCCCGGAACAGAGCGCCGCATTCCCCCAGCTGGCCCCCGTGTCCCGTCCTCGCGTTCCTCTTCCCCCTTCTCGTGTTCGTCGTCGCCCACTCCATCTCCTCCTCCACGTCTTCCTTCGCCTCCGTCTCCGTCTTCCTCATCCCCCTCCCCCCTTCTCGCCCTCCCCGCCCCTCCTCCGCCCCTCCCCGCCGCCCCTTCTCCCTCCTCGCCCCCTGCTCCCCGCGCCCGGCGCGCCCCAGGGGCGGTGACGCGGCGGCGCGCCCAGACTGCTGCTGGCCATCCTTCGCCGCCCCTGGCGGCGGCAGCGCTGGCGCCGCCCCCGCTCAGTCCGCCGAGCACCGCGCGGGGGGTGGTCGGATCGGTCGGGCGAGAGGGGGCGAGAGGGGGGGGGGGACAGCTGGGGGGGGCGAGAGGGGGGGCGAGAGGGGGCGAGAGGGGGGGCGAGAGGGGGCGAGAGGGGGGAGGGGGACAGATGGAGCGTACCAGAAAGGGCCTCGCCTTCGACTCGGCATCGCTCGGACGCGTGCGCTGTTTCTCGGCGGCGGTTCTCAAGGACCATCCTGGAGCACTCTGCGGACAAGAAGCCGCGCACGAGACCGAAGAAAGCACAGGGAATGGACGTCCGAGCGATGGCCCGTCGAGGACAGACGGAGTTGCCATCTCTTCCTCCGCGGAAGACTGGCGGCAGACTGGCGGAGGGCGGCGGCGGTGGCGCGGCGCCGGCTCCGCCGGCGGAGGCCGGCGGAAGGCTGGCAGAAGGCGGCGTACCTTCTAGGCGATGCTTAAGAAAGTCCAAGTTTTCGGCCAGAGTCTCGATTATTCTTAATGTTTCAATGTAAATCCTAAGGTTTGAATGGGAACTTAACCCATGATTTCTTAAGCATTTCGCAGGGTGTACAGTATTCGGCCTGACCTAAGGAACGATAAATAAGGAACGAAGGCCCCTTTCTTCCATGCGGGACGAGGGCACCAGGGAAAAGCGGCCGTCCAGACGTCGCTGGATGAAATGGGAGGACACGCTGCGACATGATGCCACGCAGGCGGGGTTGCGGCAGCGGGCCCGCGCAGCGGAGAACCGCACGGACTGGGCGTCACACGCAGGACTTTTTGAGCGATTCATCGAAGGATGACGCTCGAGATGTTTTTTCGGCATCCTGCCCCCCCGCGGGGCCTCTTCGGAGCCAGGACTCTTCTTCTTTTTGTTTATTATTCTTCTTCTTCTTCTGATTATTCTTCCTTTCTTCCAAGGAATAACGCATAGGGAACGATGAACAAACAATGCATAACGCATAGGGGACGATAAAAATAACGCATGCAGGCCTGAGGAACGGCCGAGCCCCTTTGGAAAGGTGGGCGTTCCTTGTTCAAGCCGCTCACTGTAAGTAAAAGATGCGCCCCCAAGAGCTGACAACATGTCTGGATTCAGGGTTTCCAGAATCGGCCAGATGGAGGGGGGGTCGGGCGGGACTAGGGCGAGGTTATAAATCCGTTCCAGAGCATGCCTGAACGCTCTCAAGGGGAGCCCGAGACATCGACTCCAGAGCCGCTGGATCTCAGAGATATTCGATTTACAGTCAACCCGCATAGTAAGGATAGGCAACCTTCCCTAGGGTACTCTTGCACCCTTGCATCCTTGCCTCCTCGGTCGATCCTTCGCCGCTTTCGCTGGCCGCGCCCCGCTCGAAAGGCTTCGAAATGGGCGTCCAAGGCCCTTGCATCCTTATCGTGCATCCTTACTGTACTGGTTGATTGTGTCCTCACCCGATGTTATCCTCGCCCTAGCTTCGTCTTAAAGGGGGGGGGGGGCGCGAAATCTGCTGCATGCAGCTGGCCTGGGCTCGCCGCGGGGCGCCTTCGTCGACGCGTTTTGGCGCCACCCGGCGCCGGGGGCAGGGTGGGCGGTCGGGGAAAGCATGTATTCAAGCATCGGGCCGGGCGAAAGGGGGGGATTGGGAAAGGGGGGGTTACGGAATTTGCTGCATGCAGCTGGTTTCGGCCTCGCCGAGGGGGCTATTCCTCGATACGTGGCCGCCTCCCGGCGCCGGGAGGCGCTGGGAAAATCAGCTACGTGAGCTGATTCTGAACCCCCCCCTTTGCTATCCCCCCTTTTCGCCCGACCCGACGATATGCCTACCAAACAAAGTTCTAAGAACCTTCTGTGGTCTGCGCGACATGTTCTTGGAACACTTCTGGCCAGGGCTGTTTTGTTGTAGCACATCGGGTTTATGTCATAAAAAATGCTTGTGTTATTTGAACGCGTTCGGGTGCTAAGAACATTTCGTTGTAGGCCTATAGAATGCGGGGACGGCCGGTCCCTGCTCAAGATATGCGCGCGTGGCGATTCGCTAGTGGCGCCCGTTTGTCTCCCTTTCGTCCGACTCGCGAGGGGAGGAGGGACCTCGCGAGAGTTTTTTTTGTTGTTTGAAAAAAATGGGGGCGATAAAAGGTTGGGGCGATAAGGGCCAGGATCGGCCCTCGCCCTCCACCCCCACCCCCCATGCCTGGATCACGTCACGCTATTTTGCCTACATCTGCAGTGTTTTCATGGGGGCGATAAAAGGTTGGGGCGATAAGGGCCGGGATCGGCCCCCGCCCTCCACCCCCACCCCCATGCCCGGGTCGCGTCGCGCTATTTTGCCTACATCTGCAATGTTGTTCTGAGGACTCTTCGAGGATGTCCTGAGCTTTCCAGCGGCCCCCCGCCGTGATGCGATCGGGGGGGAGGGCCTCCCCCCCTCCACCGATCACGCCCGCTATCGCGAAGAACAGAAACATGTTCAAACAAGCTGCGTAAGCACGCATTTCCAGGGACCGCCTGGGTTGGATCTGCACGAGTCTCCCCTGGCAGCACCTCCAGCGCCGCCGCTAAGAAACCTGCGCGGTCCTCCGAGCGTTTACGTTCGTTCAAGAGGTCTACGCCATTCTTACGACCCCCAAAAAACAGAGCTCGCGATGATCGCGGAACCTGTCCTGACCCCTCGGGCCTGAGTGCGGTCTGCGAAAGGATTGGACACAACATTTTGCACTTTTCCGATCGATGTCTTGCACACAGATCTGATCAACGACGACTCTACTCAGTCGCACTTTACAATCGATGTTTTGAAAAGTGCGACTGGTTTTTCGCACTGTTCACATCGATGCTTCGCACACAGAGCTGACCAACGACGACCCTAACCAGTCGCAGCGCGCAGCGCGCGCACGCCGAGCCGGCGTGGGCCACAAACTGTGTTGAACTTATGCGGCGCTTGGATCGCGCCTGGGCGGCGGGCGGCCCTCCGCGCTCGGACTACTGGGAGATTGCCCGACCCGTAGTGGTATATCACAATGCCTCCTCCTCCTCCTCCTCCTCCTCCTCCTCCTGGGTTTCAAAATCTTCCTACATGGTTGGGGTCTACACACCGGGCGGTTCCCCATGGCGGTCTCAAAAGTGTTCCAAGGTGCTGCGAAGGCCCCGGCGCCGAGCACACCCGTGCGTCTCACACGGTCTCACAGTGCCACGAATCCCTCGGCGCCGAGCGCACCCGCGCGCTTCACAAGATCCCGTAGTACCACGAAGCCCTCGGCGCCGAGCACATGCGCGGGCCTCACAGGTCTCAAAGCGCCTCGAATCCTTCGGCGCCGAGCACATCCGTGTGTCTCACATGGTCCCACCGTGCCACGAAACCCTCGGCGCCGAGCGCATCCACGCCCTTCACTTCACAGGGTCTCAAAGTGCCACGAATTCCTCGGCGCCGAGCACGCGTTTCACAGGGTATCAAAACTGCACGAAGCGCCCTGCGCCGAGCTCATCCGTGCGTCTCACATGGCCTCAGCGTGCCACGACACCCTTCGCGCCGAGCGCATCCGCGCGTCTCACTTGGCACCGAGCACACCCGCGCGTCTCACACGGTCTCAAAGTGCTACGAAAACCCCGGCGCGGAGATCATCCGCGCGTCTCACAAGGTCAAGCGTTGCCGTGATTTCTTCGGTGCCGAGCGCATACGCGCGCTTGACATGGTCTCGAAGTGCCACAGAGACCTCGGCGCCGATCAACTACGCGCGCCTCGCGCGGTCTCGAAGTTCCACGACTACCCCTGCAGCTGGCGAACATAATGGCAAGGTGAATGCACGGCGCGCGCGCCACATCTCGATGGCGGTGACGCCGGCGAGAGCACCATTCCGACGTCAACGCGCAAGAACACAATAACGCAAGCACGCAGTCATGCGCCATGCAGCAATTGTAAAGCCGCGTGAGCAGAGTGTCACCCCAGGGAATCCTGATTACGACGCCGCAGAGATCGCGGCCGCGACGCAAGCGCGGGATCCACTCCCATCCATTCACTTTTGGATTGCAAGCCCCGGGAATTCGCCCATCGACATGGTGCTGGGACGCCAAAGGCACACAGTACCACTCGCACCCTGATGAAGGCGCTGTGAAAACGCGGCCCCAAAGCGAACGTGGAATCCGTTTCCAAACATGTCTTCTCGAATTGTACATGGGCGCATCATCCGGCCCTCTTGGGTCTGGCGGGGGTTTCTTGGTACCCTCGGAGCGGCGACGTGGGGGATGAGGAGTAGGACCACGCAGGTACTAGAGGTCCACCAGGAAAGCGAAGATCTTCACTTCGTGGCGTTTGGGGCCTCTAGAGGACTTCTTGGGCGCGTCTGAGGGCTTCTTTTGCGCCTCTTTGTCGGGGAGGGGTTCTTAGGCGCCTGCTGGCGGGTGGTCTCGAGAAGGAGGGCTCGAAGTGTGAATTCGAATTGCCTCTCTTGTGCCCCTCTTGCGACCCTCTTGGTGTCCTCTTCGGCCGCCTTGGGCGCCTCTTGGGCCGTCTTGGGGCATTTCTTGGCCGTCTTAAGGCTGTCTTGGGGGCCTTCTGGTCCGCTTTTGAGCGATCTTGCAGCCGATTGGACCGTCTTGGACGCCGCTAGACGTAGAGCAACATTCCAGATTGCGATCTTCCAACGTTGGTTGCGACGCGGGGGGTATCGCCCATGGATTTCGGCAGACATGTTTTACCAGGCGCCTAACGAGAACGACATCACCTCAATCAGTGGATCTTTTCAAAGCTGTAGCAATATCGTGCGCAGTCGCTTCTTGAAAAGCGATCAGTCCTTCATCCGTGAAGGCGTTTGAGCTGGCAATGGTCATGGCCGTTTGTGTGCTGTCAGGAATGCAGAGCGAAACGCCCAGCCTGCCCTACCGACACGTCCTGGTGGTGCGACGAGGAGAGTGGTTTCCAAGGGAAACGAAAAGCGGGCGGCCGGAGCCTGGAGCAGCTGTCTTCCGAATTGATTTGTCTTTTTCTTCTTCATTCAGGAGGAAAAGAAACACACAGACACAATTAATCCTGGATTCCCCAGAAAATATGGGAAAATATGGGAAGTGGGCGGGAAGACAGAAACCCAGAAAATATAGGAAAACATGTGGAATCTTTTTATTTGTGTGTATTTATTTGTGTGTCCTGGGGCCCCTTCATTCATCTTCGTTCCCTGCCCCGCGCAGGCGCTCACTCGGTGGAGGAGGTGCCGGCCACAGTCGCCGACCGCCCCATGGACGCGCCCGTGGATCTCCTTCGCAGGACTGCCGTGGTGGGCTGTGGTCCGAGTGCGCGCTTCCTCCCTGTTTGTCCGCCTCCTACCGCATTATTGTTCTTCAGAGCTATATCTATCTATGTATATATATATATATATCTATCTATATATCTATATTTATCTATCTATGTATCTATCTATCTATATATATATATATATCGATCGATCGATCTATATATATATATATATATAAAAATATATATCTATCGATATACCTATATATATGTACGTATATATATGTATATGTCTATATATCTATATATCTATATACCTATCTGTCTATATATATATATATCGATCTATCTATATATCTATATATATCTATATATCTATCTATCTATATATATATATCTATCTATCTATCTATCTATCTATCTATCTACCTATATATCTATATCTATATATATATATATATCTATATAACTCCTCCGTGTCGCACCCCTTATGTGTCAGTAAGGGGCCGGTCGTCTCGCCACAGGTAGTTATCTTCACCGCTCGCAGCAGTTTCAAGAATGGATGGCGGGCTTGTTTTCAAAGCATGGTTGTCGCCTCAGCGCCGCGGGCACTCGTTTTCTCAAGGGACTTTGGATCAGCTTACCCGGATCGCTGACCACAGCAAGCCAGGTTCCGATCTTCTTCATGTGTGACTTGGAAGAGCGTTTGCGATGTCATGTAACTAGAACTGTATATCAAATTGGTTGCGCGTGTTACAGACATCGCTTGGTCGGAACGTAATACGGACAGTTTAGGCACTTTTGCGTTCTCAGAGAAGCGGAAGTGTGCAACAACGACCATTTTCTGTGAATTCTTCTGGTTCGGGGTTGGGGCTAGGGTGACCATCTATGGCGCCACTGCTAGGGCGAAAAGCTCTGGGTATCGAAAAGGGGCTTGCGTTGACGATTGCTTCGGGGTACTGTTCGAAGACGCGAGTTGTGCGTCGAAGTGGACGCTACCTCTTGTTCTTGGGTCACAGAATGTACACGTATCTGTTGATTAAGGAGTGCATGTTGATGCGATTGCGACCCTCTGGAAAGCGATTGCGACCGTGCGCCAATTTGTTGGACGTAACCCAGGATGATCGAATGCCATTCTAATGTTCGATGCACTATTAACATGATGATAAAGTTGCGCATGTAGGAACTACGGTATTTGCATTGCATCTTCAAATCCCCACGCGCTGCAAAGCTTGAAAGGGTTGTTTGCCAATCTTGTACAGGGTGACGGGCCTTGGTCAACTGTTATCGGGAATGACGCGGGACTTGATCCATTTTGGTGGGAGTTTGCGCGCTTGTCTCTCCAGGCCAAAGGAAAAACGGAAGCCGTGTACGCGGTTCATGCCAGGCCAGCTCCGCAAGTGGCCATAGACGGCCTCATGGTTAGGTTTGGGGGTGACCAGGTTGCACCGTCGGGTGGTTCTGCAGACGCGCGTCGACCAGAAACGCTGGGAAGGTGGGCGCTGATAGCTTGTAGCGCAGGCTTGTACTGCTCTACAGCTGCCGCACCCGCCGAGGCTTTACCATGGAGAGGGGCAGGGAGACGGTGAGCCACCTGGATCATGCGAAGACATGTGTAATTTGGAATGGCTTCCGATGCCGTCTGCCCCCTGTCGGGATGTATTGTTTTTGTCACCCTTTTTCGCCACAGATCCAGTTGGATCTTGTCGTGGTCAGCTACACTGTGGCAGGGCTGGCCAAGCCTTTGGCGGCTGTGTCGAATCGTGCTCAAACAATCCGCAAGCGTTGGCGGCTATTCGAGCGACACCGCGTGAATGGAATACGTAACCTGGTTACTTGGTCAACTACGCGATGCAGTCGAAGAGCCGTGGGGGCACTCGGACACCGGAAAACGTTCGACGTTGCTCGGCGGACGCGGTGACTTTGCAGTTTCATGCATAGCTTGGGTTCTCATCAGGTTCAGGCGGAGCGCGTCTGGAATGTATTTCCTGGCACGCTTCGGGGATGACAGAGGAGCACGTCGGACGAGCACCTCCTACTCGCACCAAGCTGTGGATGAGGCGACGTCTGCTCCTCGGCGGCCGCGGGGGGGAGGCGCCCCGCTATCGGCCGCAGTGGTGCCCCGCAGGGTGAACGACACGCTCGTCCAGGAGCAGCGGTCGCAGGGCCTGGCGGCGCTGGAGGCGCTGGTCAAAAGCGGCGAGTTCCGCGACTGGTCGTCGCACCCGGGGGGGGGTCGGGGGGGGAAAAGAGGGGGGTGATGACTAGGGGGGGGTGGATATCATGGCGGGGGCCATGGTATCTCCCCGGATTTCATGGCGCCTCTTCTTACTTCATTACGTCCCTGGCCCCCCCGCTGGGTCGCGCACGTGCCGCCGGTCATGATTTGCGCCCCCCCTCTTGGACACCCCCCCCCTCTTGGCCGCTCCCGAGGGGGGCAGGGGAGGAGAAGAGTTGCTGACCGCCCGCTCGTCCTGGAGGCCCTCGTCGCCCATGGCTGGGTTCCCCTCAAGCTCCGGGCCAGAGCGCACCCTTGGAGAGGTCCAGGTTGTGGCGGCATCGGTGACTTCTCGTCTCCTCGTCGTCGTTCTCGTCCTCGTCCTCGTCCTCGTCCTCCTCCTCCTGCTCCTCCTCCTCCTCCCTCTTGCTCCTCCTCCTCCTCCTCCGCCTCCTCCTCCTCCTCCCTTCCCTCCTCCCCCCCTTTCCCCCCCTCCTCCTCGCAGGAAAAAGAATCAGCGGCCGGGGCGGGAGAGGCACAGGAGGTAGGAGGCAGGGTGGGACGGGGGGGTTATGAATGAAGGTCCCCCCCCGGGTCCCAGAGGTTGGAGGAGGAGGGGAAGGATGGGGAAGGGGCGCCACGAGATGTGGAGGGCGTAGTCAAAGCAGGAGTCGGCCGCCGCCGGTTCAGTCGAACAGAACTTCAGCACATTCGTCATGGCGACCAGTCTTCATCAGCCGAAAGGGTATGTGACTGAAAAAGGTTTGAGACATTCCAGAAAGTGCCTCGCCTTCGAGGGATCCAGAAGTTGGCATCTCTTCCTCAGCGGAGGGTGGTGCAAGGTTCGCGGAAGATGGCGGACGTAAATCTGGACGGTTCCGCTGGCGCCGGCGCAAGCCGGCGGAAGCAACAGATGCGCCCCCAAGAGATGGCAACGTGTGTTCAGGCTTTACGGAATCGGCGGTGTGTGATTGGAATTGATATGCGACTTACAACGTGCCTGTAGCTGCAACCAACACAAAAACGTAGTGTGACCGACATTCAAGGTCGTATTGGATTCGAATCAAGAACTTCGGTCACGCTCGGGCCCATTTGGAAAGCATCGGGCGCAGGTTTCGGTCACACTCGAGCGGATTGTCGGGGCATGATTTCGGTCACTGAACTCTTTTGTTAGAGACGAGGCTGCATGTCGTTCGATGTGCAAAGGCGGCCGTTGACACGGCGCCGTACGAGAACGATAGCCAAGGGTAGAGGTATCAGCCTCTCGGGCTGGACGTGTTCGCCAGGTTGTGGGATCCTGGACCATCACAGGTCGGTCCGGCTCAAAAATGTAGAAATGATCCAGTGATGTACCCCACCCAATGGAAACATGTGGCGACTCCACACAGGACCGCTCACTCTAAACGACATGGCTGAAATACCCACAGTGTCCCAGGAGCCCACGAAAGCGGCGACAGTTGCGCACTTCGCAGCCTCCCGGGGAGCCTCGAGGCCTCAAGTGCATCCCCGTATCCTCCCGCTCCACGGGACCTCCCAGGAGCCCAGGAAAGTGGCGCCAGTTGCGCAGTTCGCAACCCCCCAGGGAGCCGCGAGGTCTCGGCGGGGTCCGTCTACCACTCGTCACTCCCCTCCCGCTGCCCCCCAGACTGCAGGCGAGGTCTCGACGGGGTCCGTGTACCACCCACTTCGCTGGAGTTCCAGGAGTTCAGGAATGTGGCGACTGTTGCGCAGTCCGGAGACTAGAGCCCGCGAAGATGGCGACAGTTGTGCAGTTCGGAGACCCCCAGAGAGCGGCGAGGTCTCGGCAGGGTCCGTGTACCACTCGACTCGGCTGGGCCTCCCAGGAGCCCACGAAAATGGCGACAGCTGCGCATTTCACAGCTCCTTTATGAGCAAGAGGGAGGAGGAGGAGGAGGAGGAGGAGGAGGAGGAGGAGGAGGAGGAGGAGGAGGAGGAGGAGGAGGAGGAGGAGGAGGAGGAGGAGGAGGAGGAGGAGGAGGAGGAGGCAGGAGGAGGACGGGGGAGGAGAGGAGAGGAGAGGAGGAGGTGTAGACCCACTCTCTGTGTTGGGAACAGACAGGGTCCGTGCCTCTGGTCGTGATTTGTAATGCGATGTTGCATTGTTTTGCAACGTCGGATCTGCCTCAAGGCGGGCCCAATACACCCCGAGGACGACCCAGAGGACCCACGACGGCCTCACGTGAGGCACCTGCGGCAACGGTGGGCTTTCATTCAGCCTAACACAATCCCGGACAATCCCTGTCCCTGATAGCACGATGAATCCGTGGCCTGACTTAGGTCCTCGGATCTGCAAAAAAGAAGGCAGACCCTGCTGTTCCAGGGCCTCATGCCTCAGGTCCCCTCCCAAAGGATCAGGGGCACCTCTGTTGCTGACCAGGGCTGGACCTAAACGGTGTTTTCGGCCATTGCGTGGGCCGTTTTCGTTTCGACTTCGTTTTGCGGTAAAGGCGGATTCGTGGCAAAAGCGAGGAACACGAAAACAACATTTAGACTCAGGAGAGGAAAAAACACACAGACACAATTAAGCCTCGATTCCACAGAAAATATGGGAAACTATGGGAAGTGGGCGGGAAGACGCAAACCCAGAACATATGGGAAAAGATGGGGAATCATTTTATTTGTGTGTATTTATTTGTGTGTCCTTGGGCCCCTTGATAAACGAAAAACACCGTTCAGGATCGGCTCTGCTGCTGACACCCAGCGGCGGCACGGGGTGGGGCGGCCTGGCTCGCGACCTCCACGGGCCGCTCCGAGCTCGCCGCCCGCCCGCCCGCCCCTGGCGCACTCCACCGCGGCGGGGGGGCGCCTCGGGCTCGTGGCCTGCGCCGATGGCTCCCTCCTCCCTCTCCTCCTCCCTCTCCTCCTCCCTCTCCTCCTCCTCCTCCTCTCCCTCCTCCTCCCTCCTCCTCCTCCTCTCCTCCTCCTCCTCCTCTCCTCCTCCTCCTCCTCCTCCTCCTCCTCTTTTGGCACGCTCCACCTCCCTCTCCTCCTCCTCCTCCTCCTCCTCCTCCTCCTCCTCCTCCTCCCCGGCACCGGGCATCTGCCTCGCCGCGCACAGGCGGCGAGCCTCAGCTTTGGAGAGCCTCGGGACCGACGAGGCACTCCGCCGACGCTGGTGCTCCTGAAGTGTTGTTCCCTCCTCGTGGAGCCGTGCTCGAAGGCAATCCGCCGACGCTGGTGCTCCTGAAGTGCTGTTCCCTCCTCGTGGAGCCGTGCTCGAAGTTGTTGGCGCGTGCGCCTCAACTGAAACCACTTCCGGATCCTTCTTCACCAGCTCCTGTTGCCGTGTGGTGGCATTCTGTGCTGTCTCTCCTGTAGTTCGCTTTCCGTGCGCACGATGCCATCCTGTCGCAGTCGCAGCTCCTCCTGCATGTGCTTTTCCCACCGTAATTCTCGATTCTCGATCTGGGGTGTGAGGGGGGCCCTGGACCAGTTGGGTACGCGGGGCCCTGGAGCCGACCGGGGCCACCGCCTCCGATCCGAGACCCCGCGCTCCGCGTGCTCCCTGGGGCCTGCCTGGGCCCGCCCAGTGGGAGCGACCGCGAGCAGGAGGGCTCCCTCGGCCAGGCTCCGGGCGGCGCTCGGGGGCGCGGCCTCCGCGCTGAGCGCTCTGCGCTCTGCGCGCTCGCCCTGCGCGCTGCGCTCTCGCCCTGCGCGCTGCCGCCGCGCCGCGCCGGTGGACCGCGGGCCGCAGAGCGACTCGCCCCTCGGCGGGTCGACGCGGATGGCCCCGGGCGGCCGCCGAAGGCGAGGGCACGCCTGTGCAGGCGCGCCCGTGCCTGACCCGACGCGGCTGGAGGGAGAGGGAGGAGGGGGAGGGCGAGGGGGTAAGCACGTGAGGGAGGGGAGGGAGGGCGAGGGGGGAGGAGCGAGGGGGGGGGGGAGGGGGGCGCGAGGATGCAGGAAGGGAGGGGAGCGAGCAGGATGGCCGAGGAGGAGGAGGAGGAGGAGGAGGAGGAGGAGAACGTGGTGCGGAGGATGAGAGAGGGAAGGCGCAGGAGAGAGGGTGTGTCGGGATCCGACTGGAGGTGCCTGGAGGTGCCCAGAGGTCTCCAGGGGCTCCAGGGTTCCTGGGTGCTCTAAAGTCCAGAGGCCCGAAAACGTTCAAAGGTTTTCATCGGCGATACTCCCCGATCCTCGATTCCCGATCCTCCTGGCCGACGATGATGATGATGATGATGATGATGATGATGATGATGATGATGATGATGATGATGATGCTGATGAGATGATGATGATGATGATGAGGATGAGGATGAGGATGAGGATGAGGATGAGGAGAGATGAGGGGATGAGATGAGGATGAGGATGAGGATGATGGATGATGATGATGATGATGATGATGATGATGATGTGATGATGATGAGGATGATGAGGATGATGATGATGATGATGATGATGATGATGATGATGATGATGATGAGGATGAGGAGGAGGAGGAGGAGGAGGAGGAGGACGCGGGCCAACTCACTCGCTGTTGTCTCGCTGTCGTTTCGTGCGGGCGGGCGCACGCTCACTCGTTCGATTGGGGGCGCGACGCCCGTCCTCTCTCTCTCTCTCTCCTCTCCTTCGGCTCGTCTGCCCCCCCTGCGGGTCGCCACGGCGGCCCTCGGTCCTCCGCGGCAGGCCGCTGGACCGGGAGCTCTACGAGCAGCTCTTCGCCCTGCTGCCCGCTGCCTTCTCGTGGAGGGGGCCGGAGGCCAAGGCTGCGGACCCCGCCGATCGGGGCGAGCAGACGTCGGTCGCTGCGACGAGCTGCAGTCAAGACGCCACAGCGGATGAGGAGGAGGAGGAGGAGGAGGAGGAGGAGGAGGAGGAGGAGGAGGAGGAGGAGAGGAGGAGGAGGAGGAGGAGGAGGAGGAGGAGGAGGAGGAGGAGGAGGAGGAGGAGGAGGGGGAGGATTCAGGAGGGGGCTCCAGTGTCCGGTCCGCTCCTCAGGTCCAGGTCGGGGAGCCTGTTCGTGGGAGAGACCCGCCGTGGCTAGACGCGCCCCGTCCTTCGTACTCCGCGGGCGACTTGTGTGTGCACTGTCCTGCGCTGGCGTCTCCCGAGGCGTCGTCGATCCTCGATCCAAGAATGGCGCGGTGCACAGTTCTTGTCGGCCCTCAGAGGCGAAGCACGCTGGACCGTACAGTCGGGGCCCTGAAGAAGGAGCCCTTTTCGTTGGGGAGGGGCTCGGTGTTCCTTGATTGTTCTACAGTTTGCCTTCTGTTTTCCTGAGGTTTTCCACGGGAAGTCGAAGTTCAACTTATGGGAGAAAGGGGCCCCGTTCCTTATTTAGGGTTCCTCAGGTCAACGCCCAAACTGTACCGCGGCGGAGGTAGGCCTGAAGGGAGCCCAGTCATGGTACGGTGCATGGGCGCTGTTCTCGTGCATTCTTCAGCGTTCACCATGCACGGCGAATCACCGCCGACCCCTGCCTTTGGAAGCGCCTATGTTGCCGAACGTTGCGGCCATAGCTTGGCCAAACTATCGGAGAATATGTGATCCCAGTCGTTGAGGAAATCCTTCGGTGAACACGTGCGGGAGAAAGAAGAAGAGGAGGAGAGTGAGGAAAAAGGAGGAGGAGGCCTCTTGGGAGCCTCTTGGGTCACTCTTTTGGTCTTCTGGGAGCCTCCTGCGGCCTCTTGGGGGCCTGTCGGAAGCTTCATGGAAGCCCTTGGGGGCGTGTAGAGGTAAGGGCGTTCCTGGCCGGTCTGACGCCGTCGGATTCCGTCTTGGGGGCCTCTCGGAGCCGCCTTGGGGTCCTCTGGTGTTGCTTCTGGGCCGTCTTGGCAGCCATCTTGGGCGTCTGAGCCTTGGGCCGTCTTGGGGCCCTCTTGGGGCCTTGTTTGGGGCCCCTTGGCTTTGGACGGAGGTTGAAGGCGAGCATAGCGAGCTATCCGCCGCCGTTGTGGCTCAAGCGGCGCGCTGTAGATGTGCCTAGTCAGTACTTCGGCTACTGTAGTGTGAGACAACAGTACGTCGTACTTCTATCATATACCCTGCTACATCTACTGTCTCATCTACGGATAATGACATTGTCTTGGTCCTCCTCCTGGCCGGCGGGCTTGTTCGGTAGCAATTCATCGGGACCTTGCCTGTCGTCGCGCTCGGCGGGCTTGTTCGGCAGCAGTTCGTGGGAGCCTTGCTTGTCTTCGTACGTTTGCCTTCAGGGTGAACTCGCGTGCGCTAGCGTTTATGGCAATCGACGAAAAAGCGATGATCTAGCGCAGATTGGCGTTGATTTAGCCCCGACTGGCGCCGCCTAGTATCGATTAGCAGGATGGGTGACCTGTGCTTATTTGGCCGACGGGCCAAGGGCTACGGAAGCGTCGGTTAGCGTCGATTAGTATCGGTCAGCGTCGGTCAGCGTCGCTTCACCAGAGCCGGCAAGGTGACGCGGGATCCTCCCGTGAGTTGCTGCGGAAGGCTCGGCGCCCGCGGTCCCGCTGGCCCCGGCGGGCCCCGGGGGGCAGTGCAGCGGCCTCGCGACGGCCCCCTGGGGCGGGGGCGGCCAGGGGGGGTGGGGGGAGGCAGGGTGCACTTTCTTAGAGATCCGACGCCCCAACAAGAAAAAATTGGAGCGGCGGGATTCCCTCAGTTTGGGGCCTCCGGAGGCCCTCGCCGGGCCTCGGGGGCGTCGAAAAATTAACTATTCAGGGCGAAAAGTCGGCCCCCCGAGAAGTGGTCGGGGCCTCCGGGGCCGACGCATCGAAAAAATTGAAGCGGACCGATGTCTGGGTCCTGAGAGGTTGAGTCCAGCATCGGCGCTGGCTCATGGGTGGTCAAAAGCTCGCCTAATGGACAGACAGACGCAAACAAAAGGAGCCTACGGTAAGCAGCAACTGAATCGTGGTGTGACCCGAACTCGTTTTTGTTTGAATCCTCGGCCGGAGTTTCGGCCACGTTCGCAGGACAGCCTTGCGACGCACATGAGTCGTGTATAGTATCGCCGTCCGCTCCGCCCCCCAAGAAAAAAGCTCGCCTAATCCGGCACAGTGTTGCTCCACCGGGCTCGATTCCGTCTGGTACGGCCGAATCCGGCGGCTGAATCCCAGGTTGATTTAGATTCACTCCGGCCGAATGGCCATTCTTAGATAACGCTTAATCGCTCTTGCGAAGCACCGGGTCCCTCCCTTCCTCCGGTTCACCGGTGCACACGCGTGTGCGTGTGCGTGTGCGTGTGCGTGTGCGTGTGCGTGTGTGTGTGTGTGTGTGTGTGCGTGTGCGTGTGCGTGCGCGTGCGCGTGCGCGTGCGCGTGTGCGCGTGCGCGTG